GAGAGGGCAACTTTGGCCCAAATCCAAAACCCACTTCACCCGCTTCAGCGGTGAGATGAGAACAGCAATTAGGTACTAAAAAAATCAATATATGACAATTAAAAAAATGGAAAATAGCAATCAATCGCAGTGAGAAATCATGATGGGTAGAGAACTAGTCAGGGGAGCTGAAGGTGCCGAGGAAAACTTGTGCCTGGCACGGATGGAGAGAAGAGGAGAGCTTCTCAGGGTCCTGGAGAAAAGAGAAACCCTAGAAGTGATGGATGGAAGAAGCAGTAAGGTAGAAATTTTTAATAAAGATTTCTACTGTAGACCTGGAAAGCAGCAGTGTTGTATTTCTGTATCATAGGCGGGTGATGATGTTTTTTCTAGCTCATTAGTAGCCAAGGAGGATTTTATACAAGGTCCAATGGAGATAAATATTTTTACATGAAAAGGCCCTGACAACTTGCACCCAAGAATCCCTAAAGAGTTGGCATATGATCCTGGTTTTTAATAAAGCTTACGGACTGGGAAAATGCCGTCAAGAGCTGGTCAGGGGAACCGTGGGAGAGTTGGCAACACTTTGCTTATCTCTTCTGGGCAAAATAATTGAAGAGACGATATAAGATTCAATTGATAAAGAATTAAAGGATAGAAATATAATTCATGCCACTCAACTTAGATTTATGGAATATAGATCTTGTCAAATAAACCTGATTTCATTCTTCCAGATGACAACTTTGGTTGATAAATGTAGATGAAATAGACTCTGCAAGGCATTGGATGCGGCGCTGCGTGACATCGTGTGTAGGAAGACCGAGCACTGGGTGGTATCGCTAGCATGGGCGATTAAGAGCCGGCCAACAGATTTGGGAATGCGGGGGCTTAGCTGGAGAAGCATCGGCGGATGGGAGAGGTCAGCAGTGGCTGGTGGGAGCCGCATTTTGTTGGTGATTTAGAAATGAATCTGCAATTGCGACTGATTAGCATTGGGGATAAAGCAAAGGTGGGTGGACGGATGAAGAGCAACAGGGAGGGATTTATGGGGTGGTTTGGAAAGACTGTCAAGCGCGGTGTGTTGAGAGCACGGGTGGGTACAACCTGTCTTGGTGCCTGGCTAGAAGAGGGGAATCGGGGCCACGTGTACAGATCCAGGTGCGGTACCCCAGAAGGCAGCAGCTCTGCGGGAGGCTTGGTGGAAAACCAACTCCTTCCCAGCACGATGCTGGGCCGAGGAGGGCTAGGCTGGTCCCTGAGTAGTGGAGGAGGTGGCTTCAGGATGGAAAAATAACTGTATTTTGAAGCATGCCTTGATTTCAGGGTGGACAAGTACCCTTGGTGTGTGTGTGGGGGCACATTGCGTACTAAGGGGCTTTTCAGTGTGTTGGCCAAAAAAAAAAGCCCTCAACAGAAGAAGAGAATGGGTAGAGATTGGAGCCAGAGAAATTCATGTGGACCCCAGTACCCGTCTGTGAGTGTGGTTAGCTGTGGCAACCGACTGTGGTGGCAAGCAGTGAGTGCTCTTCTTGTCTTCTGAGCTGTTTGAATGGTTTTCACTGGGATTTGGTGCTTTGCCCTAAAGACTATTTGTGGGGCTGGAGGAGGTTACGCTTTACGCAAAGACATCGTGTTGGTCATGGCATAGGACAACTGAGTGACATGTAACGCAGGGAAGGTCAGAGAGTGAGAGCTGGTGGTCCCTTTCGCCCTTGAATTTCTCAATGCGAAGCAGCCGAGGACAAGGGCTCCAGCCCTGCTGCCGGTGGCCAAGGAGGGCTGCTTCGGCAGTGACCCTCTTTGCATGTCGAGCTGAGGGATTCAGCCTCTTGGAAATCGACTGAAAGCTCCGATGGCATCGCAACGCTGCTTTGGATAACACATCCCATCACATTGCCCCAGTGGATGGCATGAGGAGCCCCCTGGGACCTTCTCCAGCTCTGTCCTTGGCCAGCACCGGCTACTGCATCTCCCTGCTGTGCTTTCCTCGCTTGCCCGTGGTCTTGCCCGGATGCTTTAGCTGGGAAGCCCATGTGGACATAGAGGCTGGCCCATAGCTAGGAGACATCAGTGGATCCACAGCCTTTGGGTCCTACAATCCAGCTTTTGGGGGGACCCGAACGCTGTACCAAAAAGGATGGTGGTGGGACGGGAGGAAGGAAAGGTGAGTCCCTTCCAAAACCAGGGGTTGCCGTGGCGGTCTAAGGACCCGTGTCGCCGCTGGCGGGCAACGCGTGGATTAGTGCCATAATTCTTGCAGTTTGGCAAGGCTGCATCAGACTGGAACGTATTTCTAGGTGGTGATATGGTCAGTCAATAGCCTTCATAATTAATCAAGCACTAATAGACAAATTAGAAATCGTGTCTCTTCAAAGCAGGAGGTGGAGGCAAATGGCTGGTGGATTTTAACTGTTTCACTGCTTTATTTTATTGCCTGGTTTTACGTTGCTCCCTTGAAAATGGTGGGTTGTTTAGGGAAGTTTTGTACATAAACATGATTTTAAATTTAAATTATTATCTTGATTACCAAATGCGGATGGTGAATTGAAAAGTTGTTTTTCAGGCAAGCAAATGAAGAATAATATTACATTTTACACTCCACTAAATCAATGTAGCCCTAATTTTGCCATGCAGGAAATCAATTCCAGTCTTTGTAACAGTCGAAGATGTTATGAACAAAGTAATTTTGCAAATTATGGCAAGTAACACATTTATTGATGACTGTAGTTTAGGAATTTAGAATTTGTGAGCGCTGTAATATAATAAGGCCGTACTGGCAGGAGCAGAGTGAAATACAGATTATACGGTGAAACTGTAATGCATCATTTGCTATTAGTGGACTGGTAATAATTACCAGTTTCAAAGCAGCTTTTTCCATGTAATCTTTAGTCTCAGTCGTAACAGCCCTTCTCATTGACATTATGATTACACGAGCTGCCCTTACGATCTAGAATATCTAGTTGATGGGAATACTAAAATGTGGTAGCCAACGCTCGATGTTGTATCCTCATTATAAGATAAAATGCTATTTTCTCTGACCTGATCTATAAGGTAGAGAGGTGAGGTAGCATTACATTGTTAGCTCCTACCGTGGTGTTAAAAACTTCCACTTCATTACGGCGAAGCAAGATGAAATTTTCCCGTTTAAGATTTTTTCCCTAGCTCGCAAATGAGCATAGGAATATGAAGGTCCAATTGAATTTCCCTCTAATTTTAGCAGATTTAAGTATTTCTCTCCGCTTGCATGCCTGGCACATACTAAACACCGCAATGCATTTTATTCCGACACCGGCTTCAGGATGAAACGTTAACTATTATTCCAAGGGCTTTTAAAGCGATTAAAGTGTTAAATGCCTGCTGTAGACGGTGGAGCCTCTTTTTGCTCGCCCGATTCAGCTCGTCAGACCGAACGTAGAATAACCGCAGAGCTGGGAGGCAGGGAGGGAAGTGGCGCGGCGCCCGGCGCTGCGGCCTGCCTGCCTCTCGTATCCCCAGATCATCGTTCAGCTCGCCGGGGAAGGAAAATGCCCATACGAAGCTTTTTTCCCCCTCCTCCCAAGTGAGATGGGAAACAAGATGGGCGCAGAAAAAGCGACATTTTCTTACCAAATCTGCCTCATTTGTTTTCCTTTTCTTCATATTAGGCAAATAGGGGAAACCTAATGGGGGCAGCTCTCAGTGCAGCATGTAAAGAGCTTTACCCCGGAGTGGTGCCTATGGAGCAGATGCCTCGTAACGTAGATGCAGGGTCAGGGCAGGGGTGGTACCACCCCAAGCACTGATGTCTTTGGTAGTTTATTCAACCCTCGAGCGTGTTTGTTGTTTTTTTTTTTTTAATATCACTAAACAGCAGCTCTACGAGAACTGCTGGGCAGGGCTGGAAATGAATTTTTATCCTCCTCTTAGGTCCGGTTTCAGTTTACCAGCATTTAGTAAAAAACATCCATAGGGGGATGGAAGTGAATTATTCGCAAAATTGTAGGAATCGATAAAAGCGCACTCACCTTCGCCATCTCTTACACCAGTCTTTCCTCTCGGAGTGCTTTTTCCTCACGGGCAGCCCTCAAAAAGTTATTCATCCCCCTTGTTTTGCCATATATTAAGAAGGGGCTGCTTTCTGCTGTCATTATTAGCCGGCTTTTTGTTTAGTTATTTATTAGTTGGTTGCTCTTTTATAATGTCCGTGTTATCTCCAAAAATAAATTATCATGAAACAGAGTTAGCTCGCTACTTGCCAAAGTGGCATTTACCATCCTCAGCTTCTTTTCAGTGCAAGAGAAATAATGCGGCTCCGGCAGGGCGCTCGGCCAGGCCTCCTGGCCACCCTCCAGCTATTTCCCTGGCGGAGCTGCCGCTCTCGCTGCCTTCCCCTCTCCCTGTCCCGCACACTGTTTTATTTCATTTCATTACTCAATTTGTTTTTCTTTTTTGCCCCAGAGTCGAATCTCTGCTATGGAGCAGGAGATGCTGCCTAATTTTGTACACATTGTTAGTCTCTCAAAATAAGGAGGAGGCTAATAACGTGATGCTTTGGGTTGCTGCTTTGAACCGATGTACGTGGTTTTCTGGAGTGCTTTTCAGAAGGGGTTTTATTTATTTTCTTTCTTTCTTTCTTTCTTTCTTTCTTTCTATCTATCTATCTATTTATTTATTTTCTCCCCAATTTAAATGGTAACAGCCTCTTGCAGCATGAAGTCTGCCGAGTTGTAGCTGGCATCAATTGACTTAATCATCTTTTTTTTTAATAGCTTTTTTTGCTGCGGTTACCTGCCAGGGTTCGGTTTTGAACCCGGGGCCGGGGATCGCGGGAGGAGGTGGGCGCATTTCGGCTGGGTTTGAAGCTCCCCATCGCACCCCTCGCCTCCTCCCGTCCCCCTTCCCCTGCCTGTGCCTGAGCTGGGACGTCCCTTCCCCAGCTCCCAGCCGAGCGTCCCGGAGGAGAGGAGCTTAGGCGGGGAGGCGAGCTCTTGCCCGCCGGTGGGCGGCCGGAGATTGACGCTGCTTGTTGTGTTATTTTGCAGGTAAAGACGAGCCCAGCAGCTACACGTGTACGACTTGTAAACAGCCTTTCAACAGCGCCTGGTTCCTCTTGCAGCACGCACAGAACACGCACGGCTTACGGATCTACCTAGAAAGCGAGCACGGCAGCCCCCTGACGCCACGGGTTGGTATCCCAACAGGACTAGGTGCAGAGTGCCCTTCCCAGCCACCTCTCCACGGGATTCACATTGCAGACAATAACCCTTTTAACCTGCTCAGAATACCCGGCTCGGTCTCGAGGGAGGCGTCGGGGCTGGGAGAAGGGCGTTTCCCACCCACGCCGCCCCTCTTTAGCCCTCCCCCGAGGCACCATTTGGATCCGCATCGCATTGAGCGCCTGGGTGCGGAAGAAATGGCTCTGGCCACCCATCACCCTAGTGCCTTTGACAGGGTGCTGCGACTGAACCCCATGGCGATGGAGCCCCCCGCTATGGATTTCTCCCGGAGGCTGCGGGAGCTGGCCGGCAACACCTCCAGCCCGCCCTTGTCCCCGAGCCGGCCCAGCCCTATGCAAAGGTTGCTGCAGCCCTTCCAGCCCGGCAGCAAGCCCCCGTTCCTGGCCACGCCGCCCCTTCCTCCTCTGCAGTCCGCTCCTCCTCCCTCCCAGCCGCCCATGAAGTCCAAGTCCTGCGAGTTCTGCGGGAAGACCTTCAAGTTTCAGAGCAACCTGGTGGTCCACCGCCGGAGCCACACCGGGGAGAAGCCCTACACGTGCAACCTCTGCGACCACGCCTGCACGCAGGCCAGCAAGCTGACGCGCCAA